TATCTATCTATCTATCTATCTATCTATCTATCTATCTATCTATCTATCTATTTATTTTTGGGGCAGTCTCACTGTGTATCTCTTACTCCCCATATAGACCTGTCTGACCTGGAACTCACAGAGATCCTCCTGCCTCTGTCTCCTGAGGACTGGGATTGAAACTGTATGCTACTGTGGTGGCTTCACGAGAAATGCATGCCATAGGTTTCAGCATTTGAACACTTGGTCCCCAGCTGGCAGGGCTGTGTGCGGAGGCTTAAAAGGTGTGGCCTTAGAATTCTCCCAGCAGCCCTCGAGCTTCCTCTTCCTGAAAGCCAGAAATGATCCGTGAAGATGGTTTGCTACTCTCTACCCTGAAAATCCTACAAAATCATGCAAATCCAGAGGTTCAAATCTTCATGTTCATTTTAAGAATACCCGGGAAACTGCCCAGGCCACCAAGCCTATGCATATTGGAAAAGCCACCAAGTATCTGAAAGATGTCATTTTAAAGAAGCAATATGTGCCCTTCTGGTGACATAATGGGGGAGTCGGGAGGTGTACCCAGGCCAAACTGTGGGGTTGGTGGCCAAAAATCAGGGCTGAATTTTTGCTGCACATGCTTAAAAATGCAGAGAGTATGCTGAACTTAAGGGTTTAGGTGTAGATTCTCTAGTCATTGAACATATCCAGGTGAACAAGGCACCTAAGATGTGCCATCGAACTTACAGAGCTCATAGCTGGATTGACCCATACCTGAGCTCCCCCTGCCATACTGAAATGATCCTCACTGAAAAGGAAAAAAACTGCTCCAAAGCCAGAAGAGGAGGCTGCACAGAAGAAAAAAAAAATCTCAGAAGAAACTGAAGAAACAAGAGCTGATGGCACGGGAATAATACATTCAGTATAAAATAAATGCAGATAAAAGTAAAAAAAAAAAAAAAAGGGGGGGAGGGGCCTTGCTGGAAGAAGCCAGTTCCTGGAAGTGGGCTGTGGGAATTTAAAGCCATCTCCAGTTTTCTCTCTCCACTGCATGCTTGAGGCTGAGGCTCTCAGCAGCCTGCTCCAGCTCCCATGCCTGCTGGCTGACCACCATGATGAACTCTAATCCTCTCAATTCTTTCTTTTCCTAAGTTGCCTTGGTCTTACTTATTAGTCTTAGTGATTTATCACAGCAACAGAAAAGTAACTAATATAATCACCACTCTCAGCCTTTTTTAAAAAAACAAAAAACATTGTTTCAGAGGTCAAACTTTAACAACTGAGCTATCTCCCAGCCCTTTCTGTTCTTAAGTACGGGTGTGTGTAGTCAGGACTGGCGCATGCTAAAAAAGTGTCCATCCCTGAAGCACAGCCCAGTACCTGTCCCGATGTGTCTCTCTGGAGAAATACCTGCACATGTGAACAAAGGGTGGCATACCCCCATCAAATGCCCACCAGCAGAAGATTAACCAGCATTTCTGCCCGAGGCAAGATCACATAATTGCTATTGAAAATGATGGCCTAGGGGCTGGGAGATAGCTCAGTTGGTAAAGTGCCAAACATGCAAACATGAGGACTGGAATTTGGATCTTCAAGAACTCATGTAAAAGCTGGGCACAGCGCTGTGTGGCTATAACCCCAGCACTGTGCAGGGGGACAGAGGGGCCGACAGCTGATCCCTGGAGTTCAGTGCTAGCTAGCCTCACAGAAGCGATGAGCACCAGCTTCGGTAAAAGACCTTCACCCAAGATGACCCCCAACACTGCAGGGACACATCTGTGAGGTCACCAGGCAGCCAGTCCACCCTCCTTGCGGAGGTTCCACCAACGTCAGCACTTAGCGCACAGAGAGCCACAGGGAACATGGGAAAACATTGCTGTAACACGGCTCCGGGGCCCTAACACACTGCATTCTGACCAAATTCATTTCTAAGGCCTTTTCTAAGTACCAGTGCAAACAAGATGATCTGCTAAGTCAACACTGGCATGCCCAAGAACACTGAAGGCCAAACATGGCAGCAGGAAGCTATGTAAGTTTCAGATAGTCCACACAAGACACGCTGTGTCTCTAACAAATCACCCTCCCTCCCCCGGCAGTGACGCTTACCCTGAGACTGAGGCCACTGCCACTGACAGGTCTGAGACACTGACACAGACATCTAATGTGATTCACTCACCACGTTTTAAAGACAAACTGAAATGGTAATGATGTTTTGGGGTGCACAGGCTGGGACAATTTATTTTTATTCTCATATGAATTTTACAATAAGCATACTTCTTCGCTCCCCTGTTCTATGAAGGAAGGGTCTTGTGGGTAGCCTAGGCTGGCTTTGAATTCAAAGAACTCTCTTCTCCACAGCCTCCCAAGCGCTGAAATTATAGGTCTGAGGAAACATCACACCCAGCTGTTACTGTCTTTCTTTCTAACATTTAAGTATTGAAAACTTTTTTTTTTTTTTTTTTTTTTTTACTTTATGTATGTGAGTATTTTGCCTGCTTGTATATACATGCACTTTCTGCATGCCTGGTGCTCTTGCAGGTGAGAAGAGGGTACGGGATCCCTTGGAACTGGAGGTAAAACAGACAGTTGTGAGCTGCCATGTGGATGCTGAGAACAGAACCCAAGTCCTCAGCAAGAGCAGCAAGTGTTCTAAACCACTAAGCCATCTCTCTGGCCTCAAATTTATTTAAATTTTTAATTGTGTGTATGTGTGTACGTCTGTGTGTGATATGTGCATGTGAGTGATGCCTACAGAGGGCACTGGATCCTCCGGAGCTGGAGTTACAGACAGCTGGGAGCTGCCCAGTATCTGCCCTGGGAACCAAACTTAGGTGTTCTGGGAAAGTAATATGTGCTCTTAACTGCTGAGTCATCTCTCCAAGCCCCATATTATTATTTAAAACATTGTTAAGCTGTTATTTAAGTTTATTTTCACATGTCAAAGGAGATAATGAAAATAGTTGCCTTAGTGGGATACATGTTTTTTAGTTTGAGTTAGAAGGGTTTTTCTGTTGTTTAATATTTGTTATATTTTTGAAACTCCAAATATTCATCTGACTTCCAATATTCATCTCCATCATGAAAGAAAATAAGATGCTGCTCCTAGAACGCAGCTGTGGAAGGTTATGGAGGTGCTGGTTTCTCAACAAGGGACAAAACCTGGGCAGAAGCGTGCAAAAGTGGAGCAGGGTGCTTGGGCGGGGAACACCCCATCAGCCTTGTACTGACAGCGGGCTAAAGGGCTATTCTGCATAGTTCCGATGTGGCTGTGAGGATTCGAAGTGTCACACTATAGCTCCTCTCTCTGAGACAAGGTGGCGGGTGGGGTGGGTGAGAGTGGGGTGTGTACCTGTTCCACAAGTCGTCATCTTCTCCGCCCCAGCCCCAGAATGCATTAGGAAAGCCATTGATTTTCCGAAACTGTTCTACAGTCAGGCCGCTTACTCCACCAAAAAACTCTGTGTAGGGAAGCCTGAAAAGACAACCAGCTGGATTAAAAGATCTAGAGTTGAATTTCCTGATGAATTTGTCTTTGTTTTCCTGCAATGCTGGGAACAGAATTTGGAGGCTCACACAGCCAGGCAAGAGAACTGAGCACCACCCCAGGCTCCTATCAGGTTTGCAACAACCTTATTGCGCAGTGAGTGACAGCACAGAATTTACTCAGTGTGTACTCACTGGGTTGTGCAACCATAACCATAATCAGTGTTCAGTTACTCCACCACCACCACCGGCCATCACCACCCAACCACTTCACACCCCCACAGTCACACTGCTAACGCACTTTCCGCAGAGAGCAAGATGGTGACACTTGGCCCCAGGCCTGCTCACTGCTCAACTCTGTACTGAACTCTGCAGGCCACCCATCAGCGGACACAACTGGCTACAGAACTGCACGTGGTCTCTGTGACTGGCCTTAGGGAGCAGGAGGCACTCACAAGTACATGTACTTGTCCAGTTTGGTAGCAAAGTGCCTGGGCATCTGTCCGCAGCCATAGTAGTTTCGGTCGCTCTCAGGTATGTGATCTACATCATGAAAGATCAGGCAGTCCCAGTCCAAGTCCTTCATAGCTTCTTGAAACCCAACGTTGAAAAGCATGGCTCGGTTAAAGGGCTGGGTACCAACCTGAAAGAACAAAGGGTCCTTAAGAAAAGACCTTCCTCCCTTCACTGCATACCACAGGGGCGCCTAGGAGCCAAATGGAAAGACCCCTGGGCCCACAGAGTCTGGGCAGCACTACTCAGTTAACAGCTGTCCAGGGAGTCCACTAAACTCTGCCTTGTTTCTTCAGAGAGCACTGCACAAACCCATGCTGCAGCTGAAGACAGAAGCCACAGGCACAGGATATCAGGGGACAGGACAGGCACTAGTAAGTCTCAGGTCTATGTTACTTATCACCATCCCTACCAGGTCGCCAATCTACTCTGTACACTTATCTAGTGTACACATATCTAGTGAAAGAGGGTGTGCTCATCTGCTCATCTCAGCTTGTCTATTCTGAAGGTCCCACTGCAACAGTCACTCTAGGGACAGAATTAGGAATTCTGTAGCAGGTAGAGACTAGCTTACACTAGTTATGGCCTAGCTGAACTACATGTTCACTACCACAGAACACACACTCAAGACAGACACAAAGGAATGTGCTCGTTGGTCTTTGTCAACTTGACACAAACCTAGGCATAATTAGGAAAAGGGACTCTTAGTGGAGAAAATACTTCCTTAAGACTGGCCCGTAGGCAAGTCTGAAGAGCATTTTCTTGATTAATGATTGATATGGAAGGGCCAAGCTCATTGGGAAAGTGCCACCCTGGGCTCTTCACACTGAAGTCAGTGTCATTTGCACCATTCCAGACTGAGGGCTCAGAAGAGGGAGAGAGGAACTAAGGACCACTTACTTGCTCGACCACATAGAAGGCGAACTGCAGGCGCTGGCGCTGAAGCATGGGGAGCAGGTGTCGCAGGAGGACTGGGAGGTGCTCATGGCGGTTCCGGAAGGGGATAAGGATGGCCACCTGCAGTGGATCACAGGAAAGGGAGATAGCAGTTAGCTGCTGGCCTGACCTACCCAGTTAGTTCTCTGCCCTGCTACACAGAAGGGTAGGCCTGGATGAGCAACAGCTGGGGAGTGATGAGAAGCCCCCTCTCTTGTTCTTGACATCCTCTGACACTGAGCTGTGCAGGCAAAGCCAGCCTGGAACTAACTGGATCCTGTCTGGACTGCAGCTCTAGGAGGCATATATATACCCATGGTGACCCAGCACAAAGGTCCCTCCAGAAGGGTGCAAGCACAGTGAGCAAAGTTCTCCAATGCTATACAAAGCTCTGCTCCACACTGTGCATCTGTGGACACCTGCTGCCACCGCACCAAGCTTATTCCCTGGCTGGTGTCATGGCCCTCCCCCCACAGGGCCAGCAGCACACAAGCCCTTTATTAAACACCTGCTCAAGGCAGGCGCCTTAAGCTGCTGCCTCCTCTCCTGATACAGTCATCCTACAGAGGCCTAAGTGTCCAGCTGGATAACTGCACTACAGTCCACTTATCTTCTAATAGCCGGGAGACCAGGCAGGAAGCACTGCTCTGCAGGGACACAGCCCACAAATGCATCAACCTACCAGCCCTCCCTCCTACAAATGACCCTGCCTGGGAACAAAGGGGTTCAGTGCCCCTAGACACCATCAGGGTGCTGCCAATCTCTATGGCTACAGGAGTCCTTGGGGAAGCCAGTTCTCGAAAATGAGAGGCGGGGTGCAAGTTCCCCGTCGTCACAGCTCTCAAACCCGGGCAATCCCAGATGGGCTCCCAGCACCTGGGGTCTGACTCATAACCCACCTTCCACCGAGGCACACAGTCCGAAGGCTTCCAGTGGCCTCCAAGCTTGATGGCTGGATCTCTGGAGAAAAGCTCGTGAATATCGTCCATTCTGATCTCACTCATGTTTATGTCTATTGGGCCCTCTGAACAGAGAGGGAGGAGAAACAATTAGAGTTTCCCAGCTGCTTTCCAGCTCTCCGCCCTGTAGTGTTATTGCCAACAGGCAAAGAAGTATACCAAAGAGACATCTTAGAGAACTGCTTCTGCCAAAGTGGAGAAAGAAATGAAGATTTTGAAACTGAAGTGAGGCAACTCTTTTTCAAGACCCCTCCTTGCTATAGGGAGCTCCAATTTCACTTCTCAATAAACTGCATGCCCTTCAGAAAGCCTCTGAAGTGGCAGCTGAACACAGGAGAAGAGGAACAGAAGAGTGTTTAGGCCTGCCAGCTCACTCAGAAGCAAGGCCAGCTGTCTGTCTCATCTTATCCGCCAGTACGTAGGGATTCTGGCTAAAGGTACCCAAACTCAGAATACTCATCTCTGACAACACTCCAAAATTGAAACTATGACAGTAAGTGCTACAGAAGCCAGGCATTGATTCTAGCACTTGGGAGGCAGAGGCAAGAGGATCTTTGTGAGTTCAGGGCCAGTTTGGTCTACATAGTGAGTTCTAAGACAGCTAGGAGTACTATTGCTGGGATTAAAGGCATGGTCACCACACATGGTTTAAATTTTTTTAAACCAGCATTTTGTTAAGAAAATAACTTCCAGCAACTAGCCAGTAAGGGGTGAGCAGAGGGGGAAGGGAACAAGTGAGAATACAGTATGACAGAGAAGAAAGAAAGGTGGGCAGAGAGGTCTTTTGCATCAACCCTGTCATAACCAAAGCCAATGGCCAGATCTTCCTCCAGGACACACTCTATAAGGGTCATGACAAAGGGCAGAACACAGCACCACCAAGAATGTGGGTCACCAGCAGCAGGTGGTGCTGCTGAAGAGCTGGGGCACAAGGAATTCCTACAGCCTCAACTCCAGGGCTAGGAACAGTTTCGTTATCCACAGAGGCAGGCAGGCAGGCGGGCAGGCCAACTGGTCACACTCTCCCTTCCACATTAACCAGACAGCTGTGCTGAGGCAGCAGAGCCAAGCTGAATCTACTTACTCATGGAAGGGAGCCTCTCCGGGCAAGGGTGGTTGGCAAAATAGGTGAAATCTTCAGGAAGAAACGTCGTGGTTGGAGGAAAGGCTTCACTGTGGTTCAAGTCCAGAGGATAATCTAGGAGGGAAGAGAAAGGCAGCGCAGGTGGGCACTGCTGTGCTGACTCCTCCAGCCCCTCAGAAGTGCTCTGTAGCTTGTGGGGGCAGGGGGCTCAGGGCTGAAGCTGAAAATATGAAGCCATTTACAGGAAGGAAGTAGAGAGGACTGCCATAACGACTTCCTTCCCACTTAAATTGGCGCTGTGGGCTTCTGCTTACAGTTTACCCAGTTTACAGCCAGTGGGAACCAGATGAAGTATAAGCAGTACAGACCCCCACCTCTTACTCTACCAGCACTTCCGACCTCTGAGCAGCTTGCCATTGGCACCCGTTCACAGCCAAGCTGCTTACCCTGCTGACCTGCTTCTGGTCACCACCTCCAAGGATTCACCCTAGATGAGGTAGGCCAGCCTCATGCCTTGACTTTTCCTGTCCTAAATTTCCAATTGCCATAACTGGACTTTAGGGCAATGTTCAGTGTAAATGTGAAGATGCCAGGAACATCAGTCATCGTTGAGGAGTGTGGAAGGTGATGCTATTGGAGCCATTCTCATCTTCTGTTACCTTGGTTTTACATGGAATTGTTCTTGATTAGCATCGTGCCCTCCCTCTATACTGCCTCCCAGAGAAGGGTGGCCCTCCCCCGCCCCCCCAACCTTTCACCAGTGCCTCAGGATAGCCTTTATCCCATATGCAGGACTGAACCTAATTTTTTTTTCCTTTTACTACTCTTTTTTTAAAATTTATCTATTTTATATTAATTACAGTTTATTCACTTTGTATCCCAAAGTGTAGTCCCCTCCCTCATTCCCTCCCAATCCCACTTTCCCTCCCTCTTCTCCACACATGCCCCTCCCCGAGTCCACTGATAGAGGAGGCCCTCCTCCCCTTCCATCTGATCCTAGTCTATCAGGTCTCATCAGGAATGGCTGCATTGTCTTCCTCTGTGGCCTGGTAAGGCTGCTCCCCACCCCCCTCAGGGGGAGGTGATTAAAGAACAGGCCACTGATGAACCTAATTTTTGAAAGTTCTAGTTTCTTCTCATTCACTATGGAGCAGGAACTCCCATAGCCTCCTAAAGGGGAAGGGGGCTGGAGAGATTGCTCAGTGGTTGGAGCACTCTATTCTTGCAGAGGACTCAAATTCCGTTCCCAACACCCACAGCCCATAATCATCTGTAACTTGGGTCTCAGGGAGCAAAAGTACTCTTCTAGCATCTGTGGATACTGTTCAGTTTCAAACTCTGGACAAGCACCTAAGGTACCTATTTAGCATATCAAAGCAAACCTGGCCTCCAGGTTCTCCCAGCATCCCTCAGTCCCTACATGTTACAGAATATGGCTGGCAAAACCCATCCTCTTCACTGAAGTCTCCAGCCCAGGGCCTGGGCTGCTCTTCCTCCAGAGGTTCTTCCTAGATAACTCAGATATTTGTTACTCTCCTTTTGTACCTTTGGCCTCCTGGCTGCTGTACTTGGTTCTCCTCTCCCCCTCTCCCCACACGGCTCTGGGTCATGACTACTCTGGCCTCTCCCAGATGTATCTGCCTCTGGCTATGCTCTCCCACATTCCTATAATAAACTTTCTCCTCCATCATACCTAAGAGCAGTCCTTTCCTTCCTTTCCTTTCCTTTTTCCTTTCCTTTCCTTTCCCCTTTCCTTTCCTCTTTCCTTTCCTTTCCTTTCCTTCAAATGAAAAAAGGCACAAACATGGCACACAGACACACATGCAAGCAAAACATTCAAAAATACAAAATAAATATTAAAAAAGACAGGTGGAAGAACCTGACAGTGGTGGCACACACCTTTAATTCCAGTACTTTAATTCCAACATGGGAATCTCTGAGTTCGAGGCCAGCCTGGTCTATAGAGTGAGCTCCAGGACAGTCAGGCCTACATAGAAAAAACCCTTTCTGGAAAAGCCAAAAGGAAGGGGGCAGGGTAGAAAGTATATGATTTTGAAAGTATATGATTTAGTGTATCTGATGGTGTCTGTACTCTCTCACTTGGTTCATGGTGGGTGAGCTACAGCACTGTAGGTAACTTCTCATTTACAACTGTCCACTGCCCTCTAGACTGTGGTGCTGAAGGTGGCCTGTGCTGTTCAAACATCTGGTCTCTGCTGGTGGCCAGTAACTACTTTTTGAAAGTAGAAGAGCTTGCCCTGTGTGCAGGAATTGCCAATGGCTTTGCCTTGCTGGGAATCTATTTCTGACCCTGGTGGCCATTCCGTGGGCCTTTCAAGACTGGAAAATCAATGCTCTCTGTTTCTGGCATGTTCAGGGTAAAGTATCACCTGGGTGGCTAGTGTTCCCTTCTCTGTTCCGTGTTTACTTATCTATTCAGTAGCAGGGGTTGCTAAGCATTAGAGTGGGAAGTCAGGCAGCTGTTAGGGTGTGGACATGAGGTCACATGGGAGGGTGTTCTGGCTAGGTACTGTGGTTCAAAGGCCCACTGTCTTGTTAGCTTCAGGTCTTTCACTGATCTGGTCAGATTCCCCAGAGAAATCTATTCTACTCCTTTGCCATAACAGCAGTCCTGAATTAAGCACCCTGACACAGAGCACAAAAGGGTACACCTACCCCAAGGAAACTACTTTACAGTGTATGCTTCTCAGGGCTACAGTTCCTTGTCAGGCTGGGAACAAGGCTCTAGGCGTCAGGCTGCTGAGCAAGTTTTGGCTTTCATGGGTCTTGGACGCTTACTTTATTCCTTTTTGATCTTTTGAGAAAGAGTCTCAAGCATACCAGGCTGGTCCTCAATCTTGCTATGAGACCAAGGATGACCTGGAACTCTTGTTCCCCAGCTTGCCTTTATTCTGATTCCCAAGGTTAGGGACACTGGCCATTCCTGAGCTTTGAGAGACCCTGGGGACACTGTGGACAGTAAGGCTCCCTGCTGTAGCATTACCAATTTTCAGTCCTTTATCATTGCTCCCCAACCTAGTACCCCCACCCCGTGGTCTTCTTTTACTCAAGGCTTCACACCATCGAACACACCCAGATGCGTGCACACCCTGTTCCCATCACTTGAGTGGGATTTAAGAGTGTGTTACAGAGGCTTCTTTCAACGGGACTGTTTTTGCCACACAGGAAAAGGCCCTGACATCTTCCTCCCATAAGGTTCAGCAGCAGCTCCAAGCAGAAGACTCTCTCCAGGAAAGGGCAGGACCTACAGAGCAGTGGTGGCTGCACAATTATTTTACACCTCACTGTTTTGTACAGTCTCTTTTCCCAACCCTCTAGATTCACACAGGTGTTACAAACACTAAAGCTGGCTCTCACCCATTCTGTGGCTAGAGCTGGGAATTTTTCAACTCAGGCCACTGCTGTTGTTTTCAAGAGGGTTTCCAAGAGCCAAATGGCTAATACTTCCAGGCCTTTTATCCAGGAGCACTGGACCTATCTTGGGAAGTGGGGTAAGAAACAGATGCTTTCCTTTGTTTTAAGATTAAAAAAAAAAAAAAATGACAAGATTGTACTTTAAAAAAAAAAAATGTAAGGGGTCTGGAGAGATGGCTCAGCAGTTAAGAGCATTAGCTGTTCTTCCAAAGGACCTAGGTTCAATTACCAGCACCCACATGGCAGCTTACAACTGTGTGTAATGCCAACTCCAGGAGATCTGACAGCCTCACACAGGTGCACATGCAGGCAGACACCAATGTACACAAAATAAAAAACTATTTTAAAAACTTTAAAGTTTTAAATTTATTTATCATATATACACGATATATGGGTGCTCTATCTGTATGTCACCTGCACACCAGAAGAAAGCATCAGATCCAGTATAGATGGTTGGGAGCCTCCCTGTGGTTGCTGGGAATTGAAATCAGGACCTCTAGAAGAGCAGACAGTGCTCTTAACCACTGAGCCATCTCTGCAGCCCAAAACATTTAAAATTTTGGACTTATTTATCTTATATATATATGAATGTTTTGCCAGCATCTGTGTCTGGGTACCACACATGTCCACATGAACTCATGTTCTGCCAGATGCCCGCAGAAGTCAGTAGAGAGAGACAGAGAAACAGAGAGAACTGCCTTCTAGTCACCTTAACACATCCTGAACAGAAGAGCGATGATGACTCCTGGACCAGCCCTGCTTGCCTCTCTTGGGAGTAGCAGTCCTCAGGGCCTCTTCATAGCTTACCTGAATCATTCAGGCTGCTGTTCCTCTTGGCATAGGCGCTGCGGACCACCTGCTCATACACCTGGGCACCAATGGTCCTCACATTGTCCCGAAGCAGGATCCCTTGAGCCTGCACCATGAAGAGGTAGGTATTTACTGTGGAAAGAGGGTGGAAAAGAGTTGACTAAGAAACATGGGCAAAAGCATCTACCACACAACTTTTGGGCTTTCCTTCCTTTTTGAACCTTTAAAACCTCTCTCAGCTTTCAAAACTTCCACAGTCTCATCCCTAGTTTCCACCCTGAATTCAGAAGACTCACAGTTCTTGGGTGGCCAGTAGGGCTCTGGGGCTCAGCCAATCCTGAGGTATGTAGAAATGCGTAAACTGCAGTTGTGTCCCACCTGGTCTGCAAACATTCACAGTGCCTTCTAGCACCGTGACAATTAGAAAGACCTTTACAGACTGACGAAAACTTTTTTTTTTTTTAAAAAAAAGAATTGTTTTCTTTTTAAAATTTCTTCATTAATGTATAGGAGTGCTCTATCTGCATGTACACCTGCATGCCAGAAGAGGGCACCAGATCATTGTATAGATGGTCGTGAGTCACCATGTGGTTGCTGGGAATTGAACTCAGGACCTCTGGAAGAACATACTGTGTTCCTAACCTCTGAGCCATCTCCCTAGCCCTGAAAAGACTTTCAAAGGTCTCTGCTCTCAGCACATCCACTATACTTGATCATCACTAAGAATGAAGCTGCAGGCCATTCTGCTCCCCCAGAGATGGAAATGTCTGTATCTGGGCACTTTTGCAGAATGGTGGACTGCGACACCCTGCCCACAGCCAAGGCAATAAGCACTTGGCCTGTGTGCTCTTCAGGTAACCTGAGGAGACTAAATGCTCATGAGCAAATGAGTAGTAAGTGAGCCTGCCACCATCAGCTGGTGCAGCTGCTCCTTCAGGCTTTACAGGAAGCAGTCACACCCCAGGTCACACACTCTTTCCTGGCCAGCCGCTAGGCATGACTCAGTACGTGGTTTATTTACAAGGGTGGCCCATTCCAAGTCATCCCTGTTGGTGTCTGAGGTGGAATCTTTAACACTTGGCTAGCCTCCAACGTGGCCTCAGGCTGCAGTACAAGCTTACTGTCTTGGTATTCCTCTGTGCTAAGCACACATAGCCTTGGGCTGCCAATTCTGGCTCAACAAGCTCTATCTAGGTGACATGCATTGATATTATCACTGTATTCCATACATAATGTGCATTAAAAGCCGACAGGATAAGGCCAATTCACTCCTTTCAGCCAGAGTCCTATGCTACACTGGCAATAGGAATGAATGGATGGGACAAAGCAGGACAGCTCAGTGTGGAGACCCCAGGCACTCAGCAAAAGACTGGTGAGAACCCCTTCAGAGCCACAGTATCCAATAGAGCTCTGTGCTGGAAGACACACTCACCCACACCCTCCAAGAACAGAACACACACAGGGCTTGCTCTCCTGTAAGTAGAGAACTTCAGAATCTTTTTTTTAAGATGTAGCTCTGAGAAGCTTGTGTTCAAGACTGACATCTCATTTCTAGTTCCACCTTGCGGTGCAGTGAAGGGTCATGGCAGGAGGGCAACCCACAGCTCATCCAGTAAACGTAAGACTTAAACTTCCTATGGGATCTCTCACTTGCTTCTGTGGCATTGTTCTATGTTCACATAACCTGGTCTTTATTTCCAACAGACTATTCGACCAGCTGTCAGAAATCACCTTAAAAACAAGCTGCTCTTTCAGTGGGTGAGGGTAGATGTTCGCGCACACTCATATGTATGAAAGCTAGAGGACCACCTTGGGCGTTATCCTCAAGAATGCCATCCACCACCTCCATTGAAACAGCGCTTCTCTTTGGCCCGAAGCTCGGCAATTAAGCAAGACTGGCTCACCAGGGACTCCCAAATCTCTACTGCCTGACGCTGGATTATAAACACGAGGCCCCGTGCCTGGCATTCTCACATGGGTGCTATGGATGGATATCAGGTTCTTTGGAAGCACTTCACCAACTGAGCTATCTCTCTGGCCCCAGACAAAGGTCTATGGAAAGTGCAGAGTTCTTGGATCCTGCAGACAAGCCCCCACCCCCTTGTGTTGCAAAGGCACTGCTAGCAGAGGGGCTCCACCGTCGCAGCCATCTCATTCTTTGTTGCTCAACTCTCTCCCCAAGAGGGTTCAGAAAACCAGTTTCCTGCAACTGCTTCCAGGCACTTAAACTAGAGCAGTCAGGGTTGGACCTAAAAGTTGTATCAAGCTCACAGGCGACACCAATGCTACTAGCTTAAGGGTACACCTGGAGACACACTGCTTCAGGGTGCACATTTACTATGCATTAATGCTGTGTCTCTCTTAGTCTCCCGAAGGATTCAAAGAAGTGAGAAATCCATCTGCACTGCAGTGACCTCCGGCCACCTTCAGCAGACATCTGAGAGGTAGGATAAACCACTGTGCCCTGGTTCTACCACTAAGAGGCTCTGTTTGGTCTGGATTTGATGGGGATAAGAAGTATACCTGTGGAAGCCAGAGATCAGCATCGTGTCTTCATCTACCATCTCTCTACCTTACTTTTAAAGATAAGGTCTCTAACTGAACCTGGTGTTCACCAATTGTGTAGGCTGGCCAGTCAGTAAGCTCTGGGAGATCAAGCCCCCCGTCTCTGCTGGCTCAGTGCTGGGATTACAGGTCCACATTAGACACAGCTAGCCTTTATGTGGGTGCTGAACTCAGACGCTCATACATGCACATAGAGCACTTTACCCAGTGAGCATCTCCCCAGCCCTGCTTTGGTTCCTTTGAGATAGGTTCCCCCTATAAAACCCAGACTGACCTTAAACTGGCTGTGTATTTCAGGTTGGCCTTGAACTCACAAGCCTCCAGCCTCAAGTGCTAGGATTATAGGTGTATACTACCCTCTCCAGGTATAACTGTTTTCTTTTCCTTTTTTGTTTTTATTTATTTTTCCTCTTATAACTAACACCCTGCTTTGTTGTGCTCTCACAAAGGAGCCATGTGGCTTGAATAAAATGGTTACTAGACAGAGCTAGACTAGACCATCAATGTTCCTGTCTTGCACAAAACTAGATGGATCTTTCTAGACTTAGCTGTACACATCTGCTTCACTGGGGCTGCTGTTGACCCACAATGGTCAAGAAACCTTCAAACCTAGGTGAACACAGAGTTCTGGAGGAAGCCAATGCCAGCCTTCCCTTTCTGTCCCAGCTCTGTTTCTGCTGCTATGATAAAAGTAGCCTGGCAAAAAGACAACCTAGGGCAGAAAGGCTTTGCTCTGCTCACAACTACAACTTGTAGTCCATCACTTCGAGGAGGTCAAGGTGTGAAGCAGCTACAATAGAGAAGTGAATGTTTGCATGCTTTTTGTTTCTTAGTGCCCAGCTTGATTTGGACTCTTACAGTTCAGGGTCCACTTTTAGGCCTGGCTTTGGGGTCAAGATGACTTATGGGACAAAGGTTCTTTCGGTTAATCTTAACCATCTGAATTCGATGCTTGGGATTCAGGTTGCAGGAGAGACCTGACTCTTGAAAACTGCCTTACCCTCATAAGTAAAGAAATTTAATTAAATTTTAAATTGAGCAGGGCATGGTGGCACACGCCTTTAGTCCCAGCACTTGGGAGGCAGAGGCAGGCAGATCTCTGTGAGTTCAAGGCCAGCCTGGACTACAAAGAGAGTTCTAGAACAGCCAGGGCTGATACACATAGAAACCCTGTCTTTAAGAGAGAGAGAGAAAAGCTAGGTGGTGGTGGTGAATACCTTTAATCCCAGCACTCCAGAGGCAAAGGCAGGCAAATCTCTGTGAGTTCAAAGCCAGCCTGGTCTAAAGGGCGAGTTCCAGGACAGTCATGGCTACAGAGAAATCTTTTCTTGAAAAAACAAAACAAAACAAAATTAAATTGGTTTGCAATCTGTTTTATTAATAGTTTGTGAATACAGTCCCCTGAATGAGTCTTGTCACTTGACTAAGAAATTCTCACATACACATACTCACTACAGCCTTTCTGTTTAACCACGGGAACATGCTCAACCCTGAAAAATAAAAGAACAAGAAGGCAAATATTGCCAAACAAAAGAAACAGTCACAGATTCACACTCAGCCAGCCTGGGAGCAGAACCACCTAACAAACACTGTCCAGAAAGAACGATTTCCAAGAACACAAGCAATCTGTAAGACACTGCCACCTGCAAACAAAATTCAACTTTGGGCTGGGTCCAAAATGTTCCTCAGTGATAATCAACACTATTTCCTACTCAACTTTTCCCCACTTGCATGTGTGTTCCTTCTACAGTGTCTCAGCCTCCACCCTGGCGTAATAAGGATAGACCCAGCTGTCCACGCTGACAGAGAGGTGCAGGTGTGGGCAGCAAGCTGCTCATCTGCTAAAAACTGCCAACTGGAGCCCCCTTCAGAAGGCTTCACAACAGAGAGCCGAAGGTCCCTTCTATTCCCCAAACTAGCACCTGGCCCTGACAAGTCATCAGCAGCATCAACAGTTTGTTTGTGGTATGTCTAATAATAAGCCTACTTACTATCCCTTGGCTAGAGTCACTAGGTATCTGCTGTATTGGTAAATAGCAGGCACAGTATGTTATTAATTCTTACTAAGCTTGCTGGAGGCAAAATCCACTTAATCTTATTAGAGAAGCTGCTAAGCGCCCTTCTGTTACATACACAAGTAGCCAGCAGCAACAGACTGTATAGGACCTCACAAATGTCCCAGCCTTCTGTTACATGCACAAGTGACCAATAGTCACAGAGATAAACTATATACAGGAATTTAGGAGCATTCCTAGAAAGTCATTACTAAACTTAGCCACATGAGCTAGTATCCAAGCAGACACACAACCTCCGGTCTAAACAAACACTCACTCAGAATTTCACCTTTATGAGGTAGATGCCATCTTGACCATTTTCCCATATGAGTAAATACTTTTTGTTTCAAATTACCTCTAGAGTATTGGCCTACGGTCATGAGGTTAGTGAAGTCAAAAATCTTGAAAGTACAAAACCCACGTGTTCTGGAACATTGTAATGAGCTTTACTTTGACGCAGACAGTACTTTCCAGAACCACGGTCCTGATCAACACTGGCTGAACTGCAGTTAA